AGACTTGGTGAAACCAGGCTTAATAGCAGGGACTCTGAGAGGGATCTTGGAGTCTTAGTGAACAACCAGCTAAATAGGAGCCAGCCGTGTGCGGCAGCAGCCAAAAAAGCCAACACATTCCTAAATTGCATTAACAGAGGGACACAATCAAGATCAAGGGAGGTACTAATACCGCTCTATAAAGCCTAAGTAAGGCCACACCTAGAATACTACATCTAGTTTTGGTCACCACGCTATAAAAAAGAGGTTGAGTTTGTAGAAAGAGAGCAGAGAAGAGCAACCGAAATGATTAGGGGACTGGAGACTAAAACATACGATGAATGGTTGCAGGAACTGGGCATGGCTGGTCTGGGGAAGAGAAGGACCGCGGGAGACATGATAGCATCTTCCAATATTTGAGGGGCTGCCACAGAGAGGAGGGGGGTCAAGCTATTCTCCAAGGCAGCAGAAGGCCAGAGAAGGAATAATGGATGGAAACTGACCAAGGAGAGATTCAACCTGGAAATAAGGAGGAATCTTCTGACAGTGAGGACAATCAACCCATGGAACAGAAGTTGCTTTCGGAAGTTGTGGGAGCTTCATCTCTGGAGGCTTTCAAAGAGACTGGACTGCCATCTGTCAGAAATGGTGCAGGGTCTCCTGCTTGGGTGGAGGGTTGGACTAGAAGACCTCCAAGGTCCCTTCCAACACTGTTAAATCGGTTAAACCAAGACAGTGGTCACCCTGGCTAAGTTTTGGAGCACCTACCCTCGCCCAAGGCACGACCCTCTGCTCCGCTGGCACCTGGCAGGGCACCGGACAGTAGCTGTCCAAAGAGCCGTATCTTTCCCGCAGAAAGTTGTGATAGACGGAGGGGTGGGTGGCTTCCATGGGAGGTAAAGAGTTGCTCCGGATGATATCATCCCTCTGGTACATCGGTGGCCGCCAAATACGCCGGCTGTCGTAAACCGGAGCATACATCCCAGACGGAATGGGCGGCACCGGCCCGTAGGGCTGCGGTGGCGGCTGTTGGTAAGCAGCGGTGAGTCTGTCCCGAGAAGGAAACGTGCCATAATGCTCACTATACTGTAGACAGGCCGGTGGGAGAGAGGATTCTGAGACGCTGCTGGACCTCACAAAGCGAGGGAGGCACGGTGGCACAGCTGCGGGGACTGCCGGGGGGACTGGGTAGTATCCTACAGAAGGAAAAGCGAAGTTGAACTCTTCTTACACACCCAGAAGGGGAAAAGGTTAGGGACCCCCGATAAGAATATTTCTAGAAGTCAGAAGGGATGCCAGTGGGCAGAAAATACCAGCAAACACCAGTACAGGAAGTCAAGTGTTGGTGAAGTTTTCGGCACTGAGTGCCGAAATGGGAGAGTAAGGCCACAGGTGGACAGTGAATGGCCCCTCCCATAGGGAATAAAGAGGAGCGAAAGGGGAGGGGAGTTTGCAGGAGACAATTAGTTCACTCAATGAGGGTGAAGATTTGTTCGTGACTCTCTGCCAAGGATTTGCTTTGCATTTGGAAAATATCAACCTGGCAGCTCTCCAAGCCTGATAAGGGCTGTGCTTATCTATTCACCCTTGAAAGGCTGTTTGTCAGGACTGTCAGGGTTCCAAATAGCATCCAAAATTAAATCAGAGTCCAAGGCAAAGTATTGCTCAAAGTTCCAATTGATGAAGAGAGCCATGTTGGCACATCTGGGAAAACCCAAATCTGAAAGCTTCCCGTTTTTCCCCACCCAGCTGAAAGTTCAAGATCTTGCCCCCCACACCCACAAGTCCATCACATGGTCCAATCTCCCACTGCCATGCTGACAGTTCTACCACCCATCCAGTTCCAGTCAGGTGCAGAGACAAATGATGACCTTGGCTTTCTAGAAAGAATTTTGTTTTGGCTACCTAGTATCTAACTCCGTACATTCCCCCCTCCCATTTTCCCACAATAGAAAAGGCATAGTAGAATAATAGAAAGTGTGGCAGGCCAAAGGTTCAATAGGAATATGGCTGCAGGCCTGACAGGCAGCCCCTCCTCATAAGAAAGGCGGTGCGAATGAGAGGGATTCACCTTAGCTTCATAAAAAGGGGTTTTGTCGGGACAAGGAGTCTGCTTCATGTTTTGGTGAAGCCCAGGTCAGAACACACAAAAGTGTTTTGTGTGCGAGAACCATTTGTGTGAGCGGAGGATGCGTGCATGTGCCACTGGCACAGGTGGAGCTGTGCATGCGTGCCTGTGCCTGCCACTCCCACGCTGCTCCTCCACATGGCCGGGGCCGAGCTGCCAACTCAGCGAAGTTGGGGATAGCTATTTTAAACACCTTTCATGAGTGGGATGCTTACCTGTTTGCGGGTAAGGCGGAGTCTCGTAGGAGAGGTGAGCCCGAGGATCCTGGAAGTACGGAAGGCTCTCCGAGTGAGCTGGGTAGATGGGCAGGCGGGCGGTGAAAGGGCTGGGTTTGGGGGCGAGGGGGTTTATCTCGCTGCCCACAAGAGCAGGGGAGGGAGGGAGAGGAGGGGGAGGAGGAATGGGGCCTGCTGAGGTAGCTGCGGTCTGGTTCACAGGCGTTTTCGGAGAGCAGCCAGTTTGACTGTAAAAAATCGGAGAGATTAAATTAGGGCTGCTGCCATCTGCATGCAAATGGGGCAGCGTTAAAATATTCATGACTGGGAGAGACATGGGAACAAGGAGAGCTAAGGAATAGGCGCAGCAACTAAGTCAGCCAGTGAGAGCTTAAACAGATCTGAGTCTGTGCAGAGAATTGAAACAGAAACTTAAGCAGTATGCTGCTCTGAGAAGTAAACTAGTAGTCTGCCTGGGCTTGTCTGCTGAAATGAAGCTAACTGCTTAAGTTTGCCTGTAACTCTCCTGCCTTGTGTTTACTTGGAAGAATCACCTGTTAGTATTGTACATTTATTCATCTATTCTTATGTATATAAAGAAGTTAATGAGTCCTGCTGCATCAGTTATCTGTGGGTGCTTCTGGATTTGAATGTATGCCACAAACAGGCAGGATGATCTTATCTAAGCAGAAGGAACCCAGAGAAGGAGGCGGCCTTCCCTTTTCCTGGGGGAGTGGGGGAGCCCCAGAACCTACTGTTCAGGCAGAGACTCGTTGGGAGACAAAGCAGGATTTTGGCCGTTCCCCATGGCCTTTCCGCCTTTCTTCATGTGCTCCAGAGTCCGTAACGAAGGGCTGTTGATACAACGGGAGATCAGCTGGGGGCCGCCGTTCTCCGGGCTGGGACTCCTGTTGGTGCCGGACACTGCCTTTCCCGCCAGGTCCGTGTTTCCTAGGATGGAAATGACATTCCCAGCAGTGGGGGGCATGGCGCTTGTGATGCTGGCTTTCCCAAGCAGAGGGAAAGGTCTGGCGGTGGCGGCACCAATTTTCTTGTTTCTTAGCCGATACCTGCAGCGGACAGAGAGGAGAGCAGAGATCGATTGAATATACTCCCCCCAAAAAACCTGCCAGGAATCCAGATGTAAAGATTGCCCCTGTCATGGTAATGATGATTTAAAACTGACCAGCCAATGTAAGGCTATAACTTAAGATGATGAAATGAGGATGAGTCAGCAGAGGCATTGCCGCTTTAAGAAGCTGGGTTATTGCCACTTTAAGAAGCTGTCAATATAAAGGAGGTCATGAGTGTGCATCTCTCTCTCTCTTTGTGTATTTCTCTCCTTGTGTGCGGTATCTATTGCTAAGTTCTCTGTGCAGAGTTAAGAAGATTACTTGTCAGGTATTTGCTACCATGTATATTTCTGTATAAGTTCTATATAAACCACTGTGTGTTTTGCTCCTGGGTTGTCTCCTAATAGTAGTCACGCTGCAAACCTCTGACAGCTCCCTTAAGCTACCTTGGTAATCTCCAAACCTGGCGACTTTTTCTGGACTTCAACTCCCAGAATTCCTAGCTGAATTCTGGGAGTTGAAGTCCACAAGTCTTAAAAGTGGCCAAGTCTGAAGACCCCTGAGATAGGCAAACTGCTCAGCAACAGAATTTGGACGAATTGGACAAGCAACCCTTTCTTCATTCAAAAACCAGAAAGTTGTCGTCCCCCGTTCCCCCCGCCCCAGTGACCTGAACAGCCCAGGCACCCCTTAATCGCCCCAAAACCTGCAGTTCTCATCATGTTTTTCAGGAATGACTATATCCAGACCCCTACTCTAAAGTAGGTGGGGGTGCTATGATTTCAGGAAGATTCCCTTAGTAGGTATTCTGCAGCCAGGGTGTTTTTAAGTTTAACGTTAAGCAAGTAATTTAGTGCTTGGCCTTATTTTTGGGGAGGGCCTATTATTTTTGAGGTGCAGAAAGACCCTTAACCTCGGCCTGCAGCCCGCGGCCCAGCTGATCCAGAGAGGGCCGGAAGTTCTGTCTCTGCTTCTGGCGCTCTCTTGTCACCCCTCCCATTGCTGGGCCTGCAGTGGCTGCCACTAAGAGAAGGAGCGCGGTAGCAAGGGTTTGCGGGAGTGGCCTCCCCAAGTCCGATCCGCATGTATGGCAGGTGCATGAGGGGTGAATGGGGCATGTCTCCCTCCTTTGCGCCCCCAGGAAATGTTGTGCATGCGGTTAAATATTTTAGGGGAGGGTTTATTTTGAACGCATGTGTTCAAAAGCCCGGTTGGGCTTATTATCCGGGGAGGGCTTATTTTCAGGGAAACAGGATATTTGCTCTATTGTTTTGGAACCCGGCTGCTGAATTGGGTGTGAGTTTACCTGGATCAAGGCTGCTAAGCTGACATTAGGCCCCAGACAGATGGGGGTGGGGTTTTGTTCCCCCCACAAAAAAAGACTTACTTCTCCAGCTCCTCCTGTGAGTGAGCGAAAGTGCAGTTGTTTCCGCGTGGACACCCGCCCTGCTGCCTGAGGTCACGGCACAAACTGGTTTTATACTTGCTGTTCGGCTGCGGCTTTCGAGAGAAGAGAGGAGAGAGACATGAAACGGGCGCTACCAACATCTTGCGCCTGGCTATCTCTGCTAAGGGCCAACCACACAGCATGCCACCATGGGGGACCCCTGGCGTTAACAGCATGTGGAACATGGGAAATGGGGTGTATCTGTTCTGACCTAGGCTTCCCCAAATCATGAAAAAGACTCCGGGTCTCGAAAAAAACCCTTTTTATTTGGCTAATGTGAATTCCTAGCATTCGTGTCCAGCAAAGTCTTGGGAGACAGTCTTTCAAGGGTGAATTTACAACTACAGGCCTTTTATCAGTCTTGAAGAGCTGCCAGGCTGATATCTTCCAAACGCCACTCGGTAGCAGACAATACTTGGCAAGGAGTCAGGAACAGATCTTCACTCTCATTAAATGAACTAATTGTCTCCTGCAAACTCCCCTCCCCTTTCACTCTTCTTTATTTCCTCTGGGAGGGGCCATTCATTGTCCACCTGTGGCCTTACTCCCAAGTCAATCCCTGTTCTTTAGCTGCTCCCTTCGTCTCGCAACTCGCTGGGAACAGGCTCCAGCTGTTCTTCTGCCTCACTGATGTCTGACTCTGAAGGCAGCTGATAACTGGCATACGCCCCTGGCCCCCTCTCTGCCTCCGACACGGAGCCCCCGTCCGAGCCGTCCCCGGACTCCAGGACTGGCCCATGCTCCTCCCCAACCCTCCTCACTGTCTCAGTCTGCCATCAGCTCTTCTGGCGGGCCACAATATCTGCAGTCCCTTTTGGCAATCTTTCATAATCTTTCCAATCTTTCATAATCTTTCTCTTTGCTTTTTACTGTTCACAACTTCCTGCGTAAACAGCCCAGAGTCATTTGGAGTTGTACAGTCACTAAATCGAACAAAAAATACACACTCAAGGAACAAGCAGCTAATGGCTTTAGAGCAGGGGTGAAATGTAGCAGGTTCTCACAGGTCCTGGAGAACCGGTAGCGGAAATTTTGAGTAGTTCAGCGAACCGGTAGCAGAAATTTTGAGTAGTTCGGAGAACTGGCAAATGCCACCTCTGGCTGGCCCCAGAGTAGGGTGGGAATGGGGATTTTGCAGCATCCTTCCCCTGCTATGCCCACCAAGCCACGCCCACAGCACCGGTAGTATAAAAAATTGAATTTCACCACAGCTTAAAGCAGGCTTCTCCAACCTGATTGGCTCCAGCTGTGTAAACGTCACTTCCCAGAATTCCCCATCCACGGTGGCCATTGCAGAGAATTCTGGGAAATGACCTCTAGGTTAGGAAAAGAATGACTTAAAGCATTGGACCGAGGAGGAAAAATCCAGACTTATTTCTCTCCAAGCTGGTGGTTTTATGACTTTCAGCACCCACAACTGTCAACTAGCAAAAGACGAAAGTTCAACCAGGCATTAAAAAAAAATTAAATCAGAGAGAATCCTGCCTGTGATTTTAATTTAATCTAGCTTTAACCTCACTTGCTGTTTTATAGGTTTGGGTGAGCATCAAAGTGTCATTGTTACGACAAACCAAATCGCAACGGTCCTACCTGTGGAATCTCGGGGCCCTTTCTGCTGTGGTTCTGGATGAAATCCACAAGGCCACGCACCACTGTCTTAACGGCCACAGTGGCATTTTCCAGCTGCTCCCAGGTTGGAGGGGCTGCATCTGGGAGGGTGCGAAAAGGGAAGAATGAAAACCAACATTCAGTGGCTACCAGGAACACGCCAAGATTGTGTTGTTTTCCATTCTGCAGGTGTCAAGAGTGGTTCACTCTTTCACCTAGTTACTTCTTCGCTGGCAGTTGGACAACAATCGGGAGGGTTAGGATTAGTTGGAATGTTGGGGGTGTTAGATAGTTACCGTATTTTTCGGGCTATAAGATGCTGGACTGTAAGACGCACCTAGCTTTTGGGGAGAAAAACAAAGGGGGAAAAATCTGCCTCTGCCTCCCAGCATCCATCCAGTATTCATCTGGCCGAGGTGGGTCAAATGAGGAGCCAGATTGTTGGGGGCCAAGGAGCTGACTCTGAAAACCGCTTAGAGAGGGCTGTAAAAGCACTGTGAACTGGTGTAAGTCTAAGTGCTATTGCTATTCCTTCCTTCCTTCCTTCCCTTCCTTTGTTCCTTCTCTCCCTCCTTCTCTCCCTCCCTGAGCCGTTGTGGTTCAGTGGTTAGAATACAGTATTGCAGGCTAATTCTGCTCACTGCCAGCAGTTCGATTCTGACCAGCTCAAGGTTGACTCAGCCTCCCATCCTTCCAAGGTGGGTCAAATGAGGACCCAGATTGTTGGGGGGCAAGAGGCTGACTGAGAGGGCTGTAAAAACACTGTGAAGTGGTATATAAGTCTAAGTGCTATTGCTATAGTCCCTCCCACCCTCCTTCCCTTCCCTTCCCCTTCCTTCCTTCCTTCCTTCCTTCCTTCCTTCCTTCCTTCCTTCCTTCCTTCCTTCCTTC